ATATATTTTCTACAGTATAAGATAAATACATACGTAGAAACACACATATATATGATACATATGCATACAGAGAAAAATCACGGAAAAGTAAAGTTTCGGAAAGTAAATTTATAGAAGACAAAAAAAAACAAAAAAAAAACATTTAAAAATATTAGCTACAAAAAAAATAAATTTAAAAGCGACGACAAAAAATTAAATTATATTTAATAATCAAAACTAAGTTTTGTTTTATATTACGCGTACCTTATCTAAAAGTTGCAGAAAGTAATTTGGCTCCAGCCAGCAGCTTCAGCAAAAATTCACTCAAGTTGAGACGAAGAAGACGTAATAGCGCTGACGATTTACGAAGAAGACAACAAAAGCGAGGAACAGTTAAAACCTCATAAAAAAACAATATGAAAAACCGACAATATATAATCGAACGTACGAACGAAAGACAAGACGTCAAACTTTCTTTAGCTATTTTACTTGAGTTTATTTCTTTTAAATATTTTTTGCATTTACTTATTTATTAAATTTTTTTTAAATTCTGTTTTTAATAAACTTAGGAAAGTTAAAAATTTACCGAAACGTCTTGTTAAACACTTTAACGACGATGACGACATGGAATCAACCAGGCAAAATTTGTAGCAGATGTTTACTTGTTTCTCCTTTACTTGCTTTTATTTTTTATATTTTTTGCTTTTTCTTAATACAACAATATTATTTTTCATATGTTTTTGGCTTTATGCCTTTAAACAAATTTCACAAATTGTATGGTCACTTTTTTGTCTCACTGGCACATATGCGCAAGAATATGTACATACATATGTACATACATGCAGCAGAAGCATGTATGAGAAAATAAAAAAAAAATTGCTGTTTAACTTGCATTCTCACATTCGAAAAATATATAAATGAAAATTTTAATATTAATTTTTATTTATTAATAAACAAATTAAACTTGTATATTTATACTCCAAATATTACTTTTAATGTTCGAATGTTATAGAAACAAACTTTAATTGTATGAATTTTGTTATTTTCTGTACGTTTCTAGCAGTTTTATACACTGAACATACCGAAAAAAGAGTTTGTCAGCTGCAAGTTTTATTAGCGGCAAATTGTTATATATAATAAAATCACAAAATTTTAATTTTATTTTGGAATATAAAAACAATAATTATTGTTAAATAAACTCAAATTTATTTATGTTTTAACTATTTATTTTTAAATATTCACACACAATTTTCAATTTTCGCTGAAAATTTTTCCGTACACTACAGATCGCGACCGTATTGTTCAAACGCTGTAAACGTAATAAAACTGAAACACTGAGAAGTCGTGTATATAAATCAGTTTGTTTGGATTGTATTAGCAGACTTGTATGCAATACAATCCACAATGCTCTTCTCACCAATTGTTTAGTATAGTAACTGTATGATTTATATGCGTTCCTTCTCTTTCGAATAACAAATAAAATGTTATGCAGAAGTTTTACAGTTTATAAAACTGCACAATGAATGTGGATTGTGGAAATGCACTTTAATTGATATATTTTTCGGCTTATTAGTTTTTTTAAATATTTAAATTTTATATAACATGTATAAATATAAATTATTTAAATTATTTAAATTATTTAAATTATTTAAATTATTTAAATAATTTTTTTTAAATTTTTTTACAATTTTATGAATTAAATCATTTTTAATTGCAGTTTATTAATATACGTAAATAGTAAAACCCGCAAAGCAGGAAAATGAATTTTTACTTAATAAAATTCAATTAACTCAAAAATATATTATATATTAATTATATCAGCAAAACTAATGTAATAATTTAATAAAATTAAAAATTATAGCAATTTACATAGAAAATAACTTTCATATATAGAAAATAATTATTTTAAAGACATTTTTGACACTGATTTAAATGAATTTCTAGAGTATTCCGATGAATTTCGTCGAAATAAAAATTAAATGAACTCATAAAAGAATTTTTTAGCCGGTAAATTTGTGTAATTATTTACTATTATTAATTTATTAAGAAAAAAAAAATCTTTTTTTCTGCAAACTTAATCCTTAAATTAATTCGCAAATAATTTTATTATAAAAAAAGAATTCAATGAACCACTAAAAAGGTTTGATTCATGCATCAAATATATATGTATGTACTTTAGATAAAGTTTTTAAAGTCATTCTAAAATCAATTTTTTTTTTTTTTTGCTAAGGAAGCTATGTAAATATATAATAATATTTTATAGTATATCTAGATATCGTATAGGCTAATGTGCTTCTGATGTCGCAATTTTTGGCTGCACGTTCAAAAATTTTGTTTTACATGCAGTTCATTTACATGTACATGCGTACATTTTTAAATGCATTGGATTTCAATAATTTACTGCAGGCTTTTAGTTAACAAAGCATATAAGTTTTGATTTATTTTGTTTGAGGTAGCTCTGAAATTAACAAATAATAATTTAAGATTCAAAATAGTAATTCTTTGAGGAAATTGGCTACTTCTGCTAACAGAAAGGGAAGATAAAAAGAAAATTTGCAAACATCGCTTGCACAACAAATTAAACAAACTAACAAACACACCATATGTGTGTAGTGTGTAGTGCACGGCCTCAAAAACAAATAACTTGACTTCCAAGACGGTGGCCGCCTAAAATATTTATGTTCTATTCTGTGCAAACAAACAACAGCAAAAACGAAAATCGAAAAACTATATAAAAAAGTTGTTAAATAGAGAAAGAAGGAATAACAGAAACTGAACCGTTTGCTTGCAGTGAGAGAGCAGAGCAAGTGATTTTTGATCAAATTCACATACGAATAAGAGTAAAATGACAAGTGCAAAAAACTGCCGCGCAAAATTTATTTGCATAAAATATTTTTTGTTATATATTTGTTAAGGGGCAAATATATATTATAAGCTTATATATATTTAGTTTATTATAATTGTTTAAAAAAAAATTTGTAATATAAATTACAAATTTTTTATAAATTAATTTATTAGCGAATATATTGTTTTTCGCCCTTTCTCTTTCTCTGTTCCTTCTCTCGTAGTCAGACAACTCTCGCATACACACATCCATTTTCGTTTGGCGCTTCTTGAAATGAAGCAAAGTAAATTTCCAAAGCGAGAATTGAGATTAATATGTCCTCAAGTTTTCCTTTGATTGCAATGCATTCTTCTGTGAAGATTCGGCTAACTTGTTTGCTTTCCTCTAAAAAGTATAATAAAATATTTGAATACGTTTTAAATCTGTAAAATTAAATTTAAGCTAAAATTATTTATTTAGTACCACGAGTTCTACGGCTGGCAAATAATTTCTTCATCACAAACGATACAGAAATAGTTTTAATAAGACACTATTGAAGAGAATACTATTTTCGTACTAAACAAATTTATGTATTCAATCTAACATCAAGTAAAAAATTTACACTTAAATTTAATTGAAATTAAGTTCGTATGACAGTTATTTGATAAAATGTTTTTATAATTGGTGAATATACCCCGCCTACGAAAAAAATAAAAATAAACTAATTTAATTAAATTAATTTACCTTCAGCTCTAGCGCGTTTTTCAAATTCGTCAAATAAACGATTTACTTCATCCATTTCACGGCGTAAACGTCTTAATTGTGGATCATTTGGATCACCCTCACTTAAAAGTTTATCTGCGTCATCATTGAGTGCATGCCGTATCGCTGTACGCTGTTCTGGACCCATTGCAAGAAATTGGTCAAAGTCCCATCCTTTGACAACACGAATTGTAGCAAAAATCATATTTTGACGTAGACGTAAATGTTTTTTTTGCCATAAGCTCACAAAACGATCGAATAACCGTTTAAGTCGTTCAGCAGCATCAATTGCCTCTTGGTCAGGAGGAGGCATTAATAAGCAAGCACTAGGAATTGAACCCTCTTGTCCTATTGAATTACGAATTCTCCATTTAACTCAACTAGAGTTATCGAGCAAGATACAAGTTTCTCCCTTTTCAATTTGTAGTTGACCTTGCTGCTTATAAGCACATATTGCTTGTACAGAGCATTGATTATTTACCGGTTGTCGTCTTTTATATATTGGAACAATTGTTTGAGCCCGATGGGTCAAATTAGCAACAGTTTCACTAAAAGCATTCAATTCTTCACGTAAATCCTGCATACCACGTAATAAAGCTTCACCTTGATCAAGACCAAAATCCGATTGAGAATATTTGCTATTTAAAATGTCATCACGCTTCACGAGTCATTGCTCGGCATATTTTATTTCAGCAAAAAATTGATGATATTCGGTAGCATGCTTTAAGTGGACTTCAAGACACAGTGTCAACTGAAGCAGCCAAGCCCATTGTTGTTGTAGTACGGCAACCCTCTCAGAGTCCCGGTACAGTTGCTGACAGAAGTCAAAATCAAACCAAGCGAAACAGACTTCGTAAAGTTACTGTGCAGAAACTTAGGTAATGTACGAACTCAACCTGGACTGCGACACGGTCAACAACC